ATCAAGACTACTCGTGTATTTCTACATAATCATATTGATCAGGACTACTCGTGTGTTTCTACATAATCACATTGATCAGGACTACTCGTATGTATTTATATAATCACATTGATCAGGACTACTCGTGTATTTCTACATAATCATATTGATCAGGACTACTCGTGTGTTTCTACATAATCACATTGATCAGGACTACTCGTATGTATTTATATAATCACATTGATCAGGACTACTCGTGTATTTCTACATAATCACATTGATCAGAACTACTCGTGTGTTTCTACATAATCACATTGATCAGGACTACTCGTGTGTTTCTACATAATCACACTGATCAGGACTACTCGTGTGTATTTATATAATCATATTCAAAGGACTACTTTTATGTTATTTTATAATAACATCCGTAAGGATTATTGTGATGTGTCGATATATAATAACATCTATAAGGACTATTATTTTATGTTATAATATCCATGAGGAATACTGCTGTGTGATATTATAAAATAAAATCCATTTGTGTTTTCTTACATAATAACATTCGCAACAAGTACTGTTTTGTTGTTATATAATTACATCCGTAAGAACTACTGTTGAATGTTGTTATATAATAACATCTGTAAGAAATTCTATTTTGTGATATTATATAATCACATCCATAAGAAGTACTGTTGTATAATAATATCCGTAAGGACTATTGTGTTGTGTCGTTATATAATAACATATATAAGGACTATTATTGTGTGTTTTAATATAATAATATCCGTGAGAAGTACCGTTGTGTTGTTATATAATAGCATCTATAAGGACTACTGTTGTTCGTTGTTATATATTAACATCCGGAAGAAGTACTGTTGTTATATAATAACATCTGTAAGAAGTAGTTTATATACAAAATGAAACATTAAAAAGTAGATGTAATAATAGAAAAACTAAGAATTAACAATAAACATTTTTTAGATTTCTTTCCAACTGAAAAGTACAGAGAGTTAATATATCACCAATATTTGGTTTGAAATACATTAAAAACTGATTTTGAGTGTTATTCCAATAATAGACAATTAATGTAATCATCCTGACTTTTAAGAAGTGAATCAAATACACACATACACACATATATATATATATATTTAAATTATCAGTGTTATCCAGTATCTTTTAATCTCTTTTTTTCCATGTTATTAAGAAAAAAAGGCTTACTTTGCCAAAGTATATTACTGGATCAGTTATATGTGTTGTGTTGTTATATAATGACATCCGTAAGGACTATTGTGTTGTTTCCTAAAATAATAACATCTATTCGACTATTGTGGTGTGTTCTTGTATAATAACATCTGTAAGGACCATTATTGTTGAGTGTTGATATATAATAGCATCCATAAGGACTACTGTTGTTTGTTGTTATATAATAACTTCAGTTAGAAATACTGTTGTGTGTTGTTATAAAATAAAATCCGTAAGAACTACAGCTGTGTGTTGTTATAAAATAGCTTCCGTAAGACTACTGATGTGTTGTTATATAATACCATCCATAAGGATAACTTTATGTGTTGTTATATAATACCATCCATAAGGATAATTTTTATGTGTTGTTATATAATACCATCCATAAGGATAACTTTATGTGTTGTTATATAATACCATCCATAAGGATAACTTTATGTGTTGTTATATAATACCATCCATAAGGATAACTTTATGTGTTGCTATATAATACCATCCATAAGGATAACTTTATGTGTTGTTATATAATAACATCCATAAGGATAACTTTATGTGTTGTTATATAATACCATCCATAAGGATAACTTTTATGTGTTGTTATATAATAAAATCCGTAAGGACTACTTATGTGTATTGCTATATAATAACATCCGTAAGGACTACTTTTGTGTGTTGTTATATAATAACATCCGTAAGAAGTACTGTTGTGTGTTGTAATATAATAACACCCGTAAGAAGTACTGTTGTGTTGTTATATAATAACATCCGTAAGAAGTACTATTATGTTGTTACATAATAAAAATCCATAAGAACTACTGTTGTGTGTGTTATTATATAATAACGTCCGTCAGGACTATTGTGTTGTTTCGTTTTATAATAACATCTATAAGGACTGTCGTTGTGTGTCCTTGTATAATAACATCCGTAAGTAATACTGTTGTGTGTTGTAATATAATAACATCTGTAAGTAATACTGTTTTGTGTTGTAATATAATAACATCCGTAAGAAGTACTGCTGTGTTATTATATAATAACATCGTAAGTAATACTGTTGTGTTGTTATATAATAACATCCGTAAGTAATACTGTTGTGTGTTGTAATATAATAACATCCGTAAGAAGTACTGTTGTGTTGTTAA